GAAAAATGACGATTTCGCCCGGGCTGCGATTCTTTCCTGGCAAAGGGCTGTGTGGCAGAAAATGTAAGCTGCTCGCCAAAGTGACGTACTGTCCCGTTTTCTGAGTTTGGTCCTCTGGTAGGTTAGGATAGGACACTTACAATTTACCGTTTTCTTGACGTTGGGAAACATTAGGAGGACCATATAAGTACCATACGTATGCCCATAAGTAAGCCCATGCACACATGCCCATATAAGTACTATACTCATGACCATATAAGTACTATTAACATGCCCATATAAGTACTATACACATGCCTATATAAGTACCGTTTACATGCCCATATATGTACCATTCACATACAAATATATGTACCATACACATGCCCATATAAGTGGCATTCACATACCAATATATGTAACATACACATACCGATATATGTAACATACACATGGCCATATAAGTACCATACATAGGCTCGTGTAAGTACCATACATATGACCATATAAGTATCATACATATGCCTTTATAGGTACCATTTATATGCCATTATATGTATCATACATGTCTTTATAAGTACTCTGCATATACCATTATACGTATTATACATATGCCCATATAGGTACCATACATATTTTTTTATAAGTACCATACATATTCTTTTATAAGTACCATACATTTGCCACTATAAGTACCATACATATGCCATATAAGTACCATACTTATGCCATTATAAGTAACATACATATGCCCCTATAAGTACCATTCGAAATAATCTCTAAGTAAATGAATAATATAGAAATTGCTTTATTTTTCATTACCCATTTTTTATTCAGCTGTTTATAATTATTATTACATGTTTTTCAACTCATTTTCCTTAATAATTTGTTGAGAAAACACGATGATATATCTGATATTTGAGATGGCTGTATCTCGGTAAATATGGGTGTTTGGGCCTTGATATTGAAAATTAGCAAAGAAAGCCTTTACAGAAAGAAATGTAAATTGCTGTGGTAAACACAATGGTACCATTTTCAAAACGATTCTATGGCTGGTTTTGATTTTGAGTTTTGAGAAAAATGACGATTTCGCCCGGGCTGCGATTCTTTCCTGGCAAAGGGCTGTGTGGCAGAAAATGTAAGCTGCTCGCCAAAGTGACGTACTGTCCCGTTTTCTGAGTTTGGTCCTCTGGTAGGTTAGGATAGGACACTTACAATTTACCGTTTTCTTGACGTTGGGAAACATTAGGAGGACCATATAAGTACCATACGTATGCCCATAAGTAAGCCCATGCACACATGCCCATATAAGTACTATACTCATGACCATATAAGTACTATTAACATGCCCATATAAGTACTATACACATGCCTATATAAGTACCGTTTACATGCCCATATATGTACCATTCACATACAAATATATGTACCATACACATGCCCATATAAGTGGCATTCACATACCAATATATGTAACATACACATACCGATATATGTAACATACACATGGCCATATAAGTACCATACATAGGCTCGTGTAAGTACCATACATATGACCATATAAGTATCATACATATGCCTTTATAGGTACCATTTATATGCCATTATATGTATCATACATGTCTTTATAAGTACTCTGCATATACCATTATACGTATTATACATATGCCCATATAGGTACCATACATATTTTTTTATAAGTACCATACATATTCTTTTATAAGTACCATACATTTGCCACTATAAGTACCATACATATGCCATATAAGTACCATACTTATGCCATTATAAGTAACATACATATGCCCCTATAAGTACCATTCGAAATAATCTCTAAGTAAATGAATAATATAGAAATTGCTTTATTTTTCATTACCCATTTTTTATTCAGCTGTTTATAATTATTATTACATGTTTTTCAACTCATTTTCCTTAATAATTTGTTGAGAAAACACGATGATATATCTGATATTTGAGATGGCTGTATCTCGGTAAATATGGGTGTTTGGGCCTTGATATTGAAAATTAGCAAAGAAAGCCTTTACAGAAAGAAATGTAAATTGCTGTGGTAAACACAATGGTACCATTTTCAAAACGATTCTATGGCTGGTTTTGATTTTGAGTTTTGAGAAAAATGACGATTTCGCCCGGGCTGCGATTCTTTCCTGGCAAAGGGCTGTGTGGCAGAAAATGTAAGCTGCTCGCCAAAGTGACGTACTGTCCCGTTTTCTGAGTTTGGTCCTCTGGTAGGTTAGGATAGGACACTTACAATTTACCGTTTTCTTGACGTTGGGAAACATTAGGAGGACCATATAAGTACCATACGTATGCCCATAAGTAAGCCCATGCACACATGCCCATATAAGTACTATACTCATGACCATATAAGTACTATTAACATGCCCATATAAGTACTATACACATGCCTATATAAGTACCGTTTACATGCCCATATATGTACCATTCACATACAAATATATGTACCATACACATGCCCATATAAGTGGCATTCACATACCAATATATGTAACATACACATACCGATATATGTAACATACACATGGCCATATAAGTACCATACATAGGCTCGTGTAAGTACCATACATATGACCATATAAGTATCATACATATGCCTTTATAGGTACCATTTATATGCCATTATATGTATCATACATGTCTTTATAAGTACTCTGCATATACCATTATACGTATTATACATATGCCCATATAGGTACCATACATATTTTTTTATAAGTACCATACATATTCTTTTATAAGTACCATACATTTGCCACTATAAGTACCATACATATGCCATATAAGTACCATACTTATGCCATTATAAGTAACATACATATGCCCCTATAAGTACCATTCGAAATAATCTCTAAGTAAATGAATAATATAGAAATTGCTTTATTTTTCATTACCCATTTTTTATTCAGCTGTTTATAATTATTATTACATGTTTTTCAACTCATTTTCCTTAATAATTTGTTGAGAAAACACGATGATATATCTGATATTTGAGATGGCTGTATCTCGGTAAATATGGGTGTTTGGGCCTTGATATTGAAAATTAGCAAAGAAAGCCTTTACAGAAAGAAATGTAAATTGCTGTGGTAAACACAATGGTACCATTTTCAAAACGATTCTATGGCTGGTTTTGATTTTGAGTTTTGAGAAAAATGACGATTTCGCCCGGGCTGCGATTCTTTCCTGGCAAAGGGCTGTGTGGCAGAAAATGTTTTAGAGTGTTGAGTGACTGTAAAAAAAAACATTTAAATAAAGATTGTCAATACACTCTTTCCTGTGTTTTAAATCATTGATGAAACTCAACATTTTTAAATTCTAATTACTTTTATTTTCAGGTCATTAAAATAAATAACAATGTCTACCTAGTTGAAAGTGAAACACGAATTCTATGAATTTAAACACACGTGATGAGATATGGGAAATATATATATACTTATTTACTCTTGTGCAGCTCTAATGAACCTTAGTGGTTCGAAGTCTCTCAACTACGAGTCGTAGGTTAACGAAGCCTGTTAAATTTTTGGTTCGAAACTTTTTTTTTTTTTTTTTACTTCTTGGTTTAAAGCCTTTTTTTGCTAATAAACTTAGAGGTTCGGAGCCTTTTTACTAACTCGTTGGTTCGAAGCTTTTTTACTAAGACTAAGGCTTGAATAATTTTTTACAAGAGATTCGTAGGTTCGAAGCCTTTTTACTCAGCCCGACCTCTAAACAAAAAAAAACCTAAGTCCATTCCATGCAACCGCCAAACCCGCTGTTTATGAATGAAAAACGGTTTCCACACGTCTCACAACTGATGACGTTTGAACACTTCCGGAACAAGTGCTTCGCTGACGACTTTTGTTCGAACCACAACGCTGTAAATGCTTCACCCGCGTACTACAAATACAAATAATCGCCAACAGAATCTAAACATGTAACCTAACCTATTCCTATATATGCACAATGTGCTAATATATTAAAATATTAATTTACATTTGAGAAAATTCCTATTTTGAATGAACAGCATGTTAAAATTTATGAATGCATCTGTGGGGTCGACTGCTGGATGGAATGGACTTCGAGTCGAGGACGGGTTGACTAAGGGTATGCAGCCCGTCCTCCAAACAAAGATCCAAAAGTGATTCCATGCACGCGCCAAACCCCCTGTTTATGAATGAAAAACGGTTTACACACGACTCACAACTGCTGACGTTCGAACTTATCCGGAACAAGTGCTACACTGACGAATTTTGTTCGAATCACAACGCTATAAATGCTTCACCCACGTACTACAAATACAAATAATCGCCAACAGAACCTAAACACCTAACCTAACCTATTCTATGCCTATATATACACAATATGCTAATATATTATAATATTAATTTATACTTGAGAAAATTCCCGTTTTGAATAAACAGCATATTAAAATTTATAAATGCGTCTGTGGGGTTGACCGCTGAATGTAATGGACTTGAGTCGAGGACGGGTTGGGGTATGATAGCTAGGAGACACGAGAAATATGCACCACAGTGAAGTGATCTAACTGAGAGCAGCTACCCGTCCTCCAAAATATTGGAGAAATGTGATTTCGCCCAAGTCTCGGAAGTTACTCAGTGACCCTTATGTACTCGCAACTGGTTCCCAATGGGAAAACGACGTCGATTCAACGTAGTATCTACGTCGATATCGTTGATTCAATATTATTCAAGCATGATTTGCCCACAAGGTATACGTTCAATTGTGTTCCCCTAAAAGATGATCCACTAACTGCCTGTGTTTATAAAGCACTACTCAAAATGCTGTTCCCGCCTACTTTAACAGATTGTGCATGTAAACAGAGACCACAGGTTCGTTAATCCAGCCGCCAAACTTCTCGTAAGGCAATAATCACTACAAATTTTACGCTGCCTAAATGAGAATGGGCTAAGAAGCGAATGCATAATAAATTAAGATACAAATATATATAATATATATATATATATATATATATATATATATATATATATATATATATATATATATATATATACATATATGCTGGTAATTAATGAATAATAATAAGTGTCTGTGTTTTGATTATAGGAACAATTTGTCATGAGAATATTCATATAGATCTGAATTCGGTATGCTAGTATTATTGTCTTTTATGCCCTTGTTCCTCTGTGGAAAATTGAACATAAATCGACTGAAGGCTGAGATTAATTATCGTTCCTCTAGGAGGATGTATGTATATGTATTTATATGTATTATAAATAGGCCGTGTATAATACCATCTCTTACCTTTGTTATCTAACTTACAACTGTGTATGCATAACACAAAAATGAGACTTGTCAGTTTATTCAATGCAACAGAGCAGGTTACAGCTCTGTTGCATTGTGCCGTGCCGTATATATTATATTATTATATTAGCTGTGCCGTGATAAACGTGGGCAGCAGGAGCTGGAGGCCATGGTGGTGGTGGTGGTGGTTGGGGAAGAGCTGATGGCGGCCATGGTGATGGTGATGGGGAGGGCAAACAGAATCAGTAATAGCAGGGAGATACAGGTATTGCTCTCACCAACTCCCATCACCACCACGAGGAACACCCTGGTGACACCCGCTCCCAAAACACCCAAACCTCCTCATCAACAAACTCCTCTACACTGCTTAAGCATGCACAAGCACACCGAAATAGCTTTAAGAATAGATTATTGAACACTAAAGCCAGTATAAATCATAAAGTTGACAATACATTAATCATAAAGTTTTTGTCAACACGTAAGCAAATATATTTATGAAATTGTCATATACTGCACTTTGTAATTGAGAAATAATGGATTAAGACACATAAGTGCACCTAGGAAGCGCCTCACACACTATTTGTTTAACATTGATTCACAAAAATACAAAAGTAGTCCAAATGCTCGTTAACCCCGCGGGCAAACGACGTTGAACTGACGTTAGATTCAATGTTCATATAAACGTTACTCAAGTTTATGTTGCCCTCTCTGATATAATGCTTAACGAGTTACAGATACTGGTCGTCATCAATGGAATGTTCATGTGCTACACTATACACAATGTAGAACATACACTTGTAAGAACACGGAGGTACAGTCACAAGAAGCAGTTGTTACTTTTAATATGAGAATGAAGTTTAATTCGTCTCGAGAAATGTTATCATATCAAATTCAGTTGCCAAGTTCAAAAGTTCCATGGCTTGTGCTACTGGTGGGAAGTTCCTTTGTGCTACTGGTGAGAGGTTCCATTGTTTGTGCTACTGGTGGGAGGTTCCACTGTATTACTGATATGGGTATATCATCTGACACCTTTCAGTCAGCTGCTTCGCTCGTCGAAGCATCAATCGCAATTCTGCCTCTAGGAACACACACCATCACAGTCTCTTGTAACTAATGTCAATGTGTCGCTCATGCAAAATCCTCGCATTCGATGCTCGAAACGTAGTTTTTATTTTGGCGAGTCACGTTTGATAAAGTCAATATGAACCTCTACAAAACGTGGTGATGGTCAAAGGTTGGTCACATGTTTCGGCACTTGTTTAATATTTACATGGTTTAGGTGTTCAACACTGTTCACTGATGCAGGTGGAGGCGTTCTAGACATAACATTATCTATTATAGTCAGAACATTATCAAGTGAGAAAATCTATTTAGTGTTGATAAAAACATCGTCCTATATAAATACGTTTTCTGTATATCATATATTATTTGTTCAATGATCATTTATAAAAAAAAATTCATGACATTTCTTACTATTAGCTCCGTGAGACACATATACTGCGAAAAGTAACATTATTTTCAACAAGCTTTCACAAGTAAATGTTTTTGTTGCTCCATTAAATGAATTACAATGTTTTAGGAGCCATAAATCTTTACATTTTTCTTTATCAGAAATCAGAGTATTAAACAGAAATCGAATACTGTACAATATATAAATTTATGTGACATACAATATACAATACATAAATTTAAGTATAATTGTGAGATTCATGATAGAACAGTAGTCAAAATGAGGCAGTGAGTATACACACCAGCTGAGTGTACTCACATGTGCTACACACATGGTACTGGACTCTGCCATATGTGACTTCCACTACTTGTACTACATATGAAGTCCTGGGCTCTGTCATATGTGACTTCCTGGACATGTATTACACAAGAGGTACTGGACTCTGCCATATGTGACTACCACCACTTGTACTACATATGAAATCCTGGCCTCTGTCATATGTAACTTCGAGCACCGAGTCCTCGTACATTAACTCATTTCAGTAGTTCCTTATGCAAAATAATTAATCCAGAACAATATATAGTCCTAAATACTAAAGCTTACAAATTAAGGTGATGATGAGAGAGATGAGAGACAAAGAAGCTCTTGAAGCACCTGAGATGTTGTTGCCCTGAAGGTAACTAAGACTCCCATCAGCCTTCTCTGTTTCCTTAGTCACTGTCTTCTCCTTTTCAGCCTCTTCTATGGACGCCTCGCTACTAATGTCTTGGCGTTTTTCTATAGCGAGGTCGTTATCTTTCACTATACTCACTATCTCGTACTCGTAGGTGCTGCCGTCCATCCCATGGATGATATACTGGGGGATCTTGCTTTCATTCGTCTCAGAGTGAACTGCAATCAAGATAGTCAGATTTTGCTGGCCAATGGGAATGTCCTTCCAGTTGTATGGCTCAGTAGTGAAGATGGTGGGTTTCGAAGTCGTATCTGCTGGATGTTCCGTGGGTTTCGAAGTCGTGTCTGCTGGATGTTCCGTGGGTTTCGATGTCGTGTCTGCTGGATGTTCCGGGGGTTTCGAAGTCGTGTCTGCTGGATGTTCCGTGGGTTCGTATGCTACCGTTGATGCTGTTGCTGCTGCCTCGGTGGTAGACAGGGAGAACTCTGTATCGTATTCCGTTGTAGTGTGTACTCTATCTATGTCCATTTGCTCTAGAGTGTTATTTGTTACTGGGTCTTGGTCGTATAATGACGAGGTCATAGTAGTGAGATCTGCCTCCTCTGAAACAGCTGACGCCATCAGCGTCGTTGCCGAAGGTGATACGTCGTCATCAATCAGAACAACTCTAGAGTCTTCAACGTCAGTGCCAATTTGGCTCTCTGTTGTGTTGGAAGAATCAGACGCTTCCAAGATCGGGAAGAAGGCAGCATCGCTTTCAGTACTGTCGAATATAGTGGTGTTCTCAGGCACTGTTGTCTCGTTTTCTGATGGTATATAATTCAATGTTGGAATTTCAGTGGTCGGTGGTTGATTAGAGATACTTGTAGCTACACTAACAGTATCACTGAAAGAAGTACCGAGAGAATCATTGAAAGAACCACTGATTGTATCGTTGAAAGAAGCACTGATAGTATTGTTGAAAGAAGCACTGATAGTATCGTTGAAAGAAGCACTGAGAGTATAATTGAAAGAAGCACTGAGAGTATCTTGTAGATGGTCATACTCCATGGAGGACACCCTCTCGTCCTCCAGACTAACCTGTTCATTGTCTGATGCTTCTGTGGAGTTGCTGGTGTCCGAGTGACCAAGCTCTGGAGTAGTTACATTACCAGTTTCTTCACTTCTCTCATATCCTTCATTGGACGATGCATCGTAATTCTCATCAGTATCATTATCAGTACTATCAGCAGTCAGATATGGAGTTGTTGAATTAATATCAAAATCATCTGGCGCATCGAGTACAGATGTCGTATTATCAGTGGCTGTCCCATTGGTCAAGTTCCGGGAACTGAGAAGTAAATTGACATCTACAAGACGTCGTTCTAAGCTGTTATCATACTCCTCGAGGCTTGAAGATTCGACTTCTTCACCATCTGGATCAGGAGATTCCTCATCCACAACCTCGATGTTGACATCCACCTCAGCCAATGCTGTGTTTTCTCTGTCATCAATATTTTCCGTTAGAGAAATGACATTGATTTCTTTCTCATCTTCAAGTATTACATCTTTTTCTTCCAAAATACTGGTATCATCTTCACTCAAGACTTCCATAGTAACGTTTTCTGTGATTGCTGAAGAACCTGATGTCGACATTTTATGATCTTCAATTTCATTCTCAAGAGAGTTGCTAGAATCTATCTCTTGGAGCCGGTCATCAAGCACAGACCCTGTGTCTGTGTCCTCTGTCGGCGGGACAGCTATGGTAATAATGCTGTCTGTGCCATTTGCCGTCGCATTGTCGAGATCCGTAGTGTTGTGAGAGTCCGTGATGCAGTCTCCAGGATGGCCTTCGTCACACTTATGTACTTCCTCACACTGCAGCCTCCTATCTGCACAAGGAAATTCCAAACCTTCAACTTCATTTACAACATCGTCCTCCTCAATCTGCATATCTCCCTCATCTGTGTCTTCTTCACGAGTGGATATAGGAATGTCGTTCTTTTCAACACCAGAGGGGGCCATGGCGCAAGCGTAAGGCATCTCATCTTCTCCTAATTCACAGTCATCAATGCCATTACAAACATACAACCGAAAGATGCATTTCCCACTACTACACTGGAACTCCTGGTCCGTGCAGGCTGCTTTGGTCGAGGCGCCTCCCTCACACTCCGCCTCTGGTTTACTGTCTTTGATGATGCGCATATCGTGCATAGATGTGAAGGCGGCACAGAAGGTGATGTCCTCGTCCTCTGAGGTAGGACAGTCAGGAACGCCGTCACACAGCCGCTGGTGTTGCACACATCGGCCTCCGTCTAGGCACCGTAGCTCGCCAGGGCCGCAGGAAGGGAAGCCACACACAGCCCCAGATTCGTCCCATCTGCAAACAAAAGGAAAGTTACTATCCTTCATTAACTGTGTTCGTCTTCAGATCACAGAAGGTCTCTCCAAGACGTTATGATGAAGGAAGATCTCTCCGAGAGAACGTGATGAAAGAAAGTGTCAAGATATATGATGAAAGTAAGTCTCTACAAGACAACAGTGAACGAAAAAGCTCTTCCCAAAATGCCAAAATTCTTTACATAAAAGAGGCAAGATTTCAATATAAAAAAATAAAAGGAAAAAATAAACATGTTTAAAGAAAAACAAAAAATTATTATATATGAAAACAAAACAAACGCTCTAAAATTGAAAGTCTCAAAGACAAAATGTTTCTACTAAACAAATAAGGTTCTAACAGAGTCGAGAGTAGGGTCATACAAGGTGTCCAAATGTGTCAAATGTCATGTTAGATCAAGGTCGTAAAAAGAATAGTGAAACATGTCACACATGTTTCGAAGTGAAAGACTGGGCCCCACTTTTCAGTACAGAGCCACTACTCGCTACCTCAGTATCCAGTATTAGCTCTTGTTGACACCCAGGACTATGGAAAGCTCTTGGCGAAGCAATAACCAATCTTGACTAACTCCTAAACACCAGTTTTACCAAAGCTGTTGATATGCAGGATGGATTACCAGGTAGCATAATAAGATGTGGGGTCGCTGAATTGTTTCAAGTGTAGGTTAGACGCTTAGGTCTAACTTACGCTTGAATTACATGAGTGAAAGGTTATAGGAGATTGGGTGGATACAAATCGGAATTGCCTCGTATGGACCAATAAGGGCTGCCTCGTACGGACCAATAGGAGCTGCCTGATATGGACCAATAGGAGCTTCCTCGTATGGACCAATAGGCTTTCTGCAGTTTTCTGTATTCTTTAATTCATCAAAATTTGCCAACATGTCATATATTATTAACTAAGCTCTTAGAATGTTATCGTCAGAACTTAACGCCTTAACAAAAATATTTGTTCACTGATTTTGGTTGATATATTAATTACAAAAACCATTTAACAATTGAGATGAACTTTAATCTAACAAAGCAAAACAGATCCAGAAAAATTTGTGCAGTGCTGTTTGTTTAATGAATTCTGTAATCTGGGATTAATTCAGAGTCAAACGTGTAATGGACTTAATGAAGTGGCAGCAGAAGAGAGAGAGAGAGAGAGAGAGAGAGAGAGAGAGAGAGAGAGAGAGAGAGAGAGAGAGAGAGAGAGAGAGAGAGAGAGACACACACACAAAGACATGACAAAGATACAGACAACCACATAGACACAGAAAGATCTAAAGACACATACAAATAAACAAAAGGCTTCTCCAATACCCCACGCAACCCACAACAGGCCAATTTCTCGGTCACCCCGTCCCAACACACCACCACCACCACTACACCACAGTAACCCACCCATCAGAGCAGTGGTTGATACCATCACAGGTGGCGTTCAGAGGGACGCAGGCTCCTCCTCTAGGACACCTCACCTCCCCAGGCTGGCATACAGGACAAGCATACTCATCATCACCATCTGCAGGAGGAGGAGAACATCATTTAATAATCAACCACCAATCACAATTGTCCCCAGCAGTGCCACAGTTGCTGGCACTGCCAATCATATTTGACCTAATACGAACAGTGCATTATGTGATGACCAAACTACTCATTAGAAACTGAAGAAACGACGACGTTTCGGTCCGTCCTGGACCATTATCAGGTCGTGTGTGATACACGACTTGATAAATGGTCCAGGACGGACCGAAACGTCGTCGTCGTCTCCTGTTGTGTGGTATATTCATCATATCTTCATCCAGTTGTGACTCATCGTCTGAATACATTATGTTTTAAATATGTAAATAAATCAATAAATTTGTTATTAAATTTGAAATTTAGTAAATAAACACCTCGACAGATAAACTAATTATAGTAATCAGAATTATATATTTCAATCAGAATTATATATTTCTATGTTAACATGAAGGATATAAACAAATGATATCAATAAACCATAAATTTGACAAAACGTGAAGTTGGGAATTATATTTTACATGTAAATTGCCACAGACGAAACGTCATTCGCAAGGTAGATAGGGTAACAGGGCGATAGATAATTACAGTACCAATGCAATAGGTACATAGAGTACTAGTGAAATAGTTACATAGAGTACTAGTGAAATAGGTACATGTAGTAATAGGTACATAGAGAACTAGTGAAATAGGTAAGTTGAGTACTAGTACAAGAGCCCGAGCAGACACAGTGAAGGCTGGTGGACTCAGAGGCCAGCCACATAGCAGCCCACCTTGACAATCACGGTGCCCATCACAGCGCCAGGCCCCCGCGATGCAGACGTCGTCCCAGCACCGGAACCCTTCGCAGGGGGACGTCTCGCATCCCATCTCGTCCGCTCCGTCTGTAAACACAATCACCGGATAACTGAATAGAAGTACACACCTCGGGTATACAGTAAACTCTATCAAATGCTACCAGAGAATATAGATAAAGATATATATATATACCCAAGATAATCACCATTGCGTGACATATCAAATCCATGAGGGAAGATCTTTGAGGCGGCCCTGGAAACACAAACCGAAACTGTCTCTATTTTCCGCTTGTTACAACTTGTAATAAAGTTGTTACATCTTGGGTTAACGTGTTTATGACGTATTAGAACGTTGTTACAACTTGCTATATTGGTTGTTATAACTGGTTAGGTGGTGTTAAAAGTTGTTCGAACGTTGTACCAACGTCGTAGTTTCGGTGTGTGTTTGGCGGGGGTAGGTTGGGTGTGGAGCTCGGACCGGCGTTCAAGCCCATATGTCGACTGACATATTACGTCTAATATTAGACGTAAAAGGTGAGTCTTACCCGGACAGTCCTCAGCGCCGTCGCAGATCCAGTAGGGGGAGACGCAACGCTCGGAGCCCGGACATCGGACTTGTAAGCCCGAGTAGCACTCGGACACCCCGTCAGTCGTCAGCCCTCCGTCCTCTGTACTCATGGAGGTAAGGGTAATGTAATTATGAGAGAGTGCTAATCCTTATGAGGAGAGGCTGAGGCTGAATGATTATACAACACATTATGAGGAAAGGCTAAGCCTTATGAGGAGAAAGGGCTAAGCCTGAATGATTATACAATACATGGAAGGGATACGACGATAAAGACTTGGGTTATGAGGACAAAGAGCTGGGTTATGAGGACATGGAGCTGGGATATGAGGACAAGGAGCTGGGATATGAGGCCAAGCAGCTGGGATACGAGGACAAGAAGCTGGGATATGAGGACAAGGAGCTGGGATATGAGAACAGAGTGAAAAGAATGGTGCCCAACTCCTTGGACCATTAGGAGTCGAACGCCGACCCTACAAACAGCGAGACCATTGCTGTACCAATTAGACCAACTGGTTGAATAATTTCAGACACATTTGCGTAACATTTACATTAAACAAATAATGACCTCTAGCTCAATATATCACCAAGAAACAATGGATAAAAATGTAATGAGATAAGATTAAACAAGAAAATAAAGGTACTGGGCAAAGACTGGTTTGGAAACCAGATTGCTGAGTTAAGCAACAAATTATATATATATATATATATATATATATATATATATATATATATATATATATATATATATATATATATATATATATATATATGAATGACTGTGGGAGGTTATCACTAGCTCCGTCGTATTGACCAATATGAGCTTTCTAGGTCACAATATATTCAAGAGTGTCTGGTGTTAACGACCTGGCGGTATTGACCTGGTCTCGTGTGTGGTGGTGGTGACCAGGTCGAGTGAGGTCAATAACAGCTCCAGCAAGGACGTAATGATCAAGTTTATACTGTGACTTAAAGGGAACATCGTCTTTAAGTTCCGTCTTCCTCCTGATCGCACCAGCAATCATTGCAGGAAAAACACCTCACAGGGAAAACACCTCACAGGAAAAACACCTTCACAGGAAAAACACCTTCACAGGAAACACACCTTCACAGGGAAAACACCTTCACAGGGAAAACACCTCACAGGAAAAACACCTTCACAGGAAAAACACCTCACAGGAAAAACACCTTCACAGGAAAAACACCTCACAGGAAAAACACCTTCACAGGAAAAACACCTCACAGGAAAAACACCTTCACAGGAAAAACACCTTCACAGGAAAAACACCTTCACAGGGAAAACACCTTCACAGGAAAAACACCTTCACAGGAAAAACACCTTCACAGGAAAAACACCTTCACAGGAAAAACACCTTCACAGGAAAAACACCTTCACAGGAAAAACACCTTCACAGGAAAAACACCTTCACAGGAAAAACACCTTCACAGGGAAAACACCTTCACAGGGAAAACACCTTCACAGGAAAAACACCTTCACAGGAAAAACACCTCACAGGAAAAACACCTTCACAGGAAAAACACCTTCACAGGAAAAACACCTTCACAGGAAAAACACCTCACAGGAAAAACACCTTCACAGGGAAAACACCTTCACAGGAAAAACACCTTCACAGGAAAAACACCTCACAGGAAAAACACCTCACAGGAAAAACACCTTCACAGGGAAAACACCTTCACAGGAAAAACACCTTCACAGGAAAAACACCTCACAGGAAAAACACCTCACAGGAAAAACACCTTCACAGGAAAAACACCTCACAGGAAAAACACCTTCACAGGGAAAACACCTTCACAGGAAAAACACCTTCACAGGGAAAACACCTTCACAGGGAAAACACCTTCACAGGGAAAACACCTTCACAGGAAAAATACCTTCACAGGAAAAAACACCTCACAGGAAAAACACCTTCACAGGAAAAACACCTCACAGGAAAAACACCTCACAGGAAAAACACCTTCACAGGAAAAACACCTTCACAGGAAAAACACCTCACAGGAAAAACACCTCACAGGAAAAAAACAATATTACACAGAATGAAACAGAACAAAAAAAAGAGGAAAATAAAATACACAGAAAGATAAAGAGTTAATGGAACTATGAGGAGAAAGCGCCAAGCCATTACGACTATATAGCACTGGGAAGGGGTCAGGATAAGGATTTGGGATCGGACGGAGGGAAAGGAATGGTGCCCAACCACTTGTGGACAGTCGGGGATTGAACACCGACCTGCATGACGCCAGACCGTCACTCTACCGTCCACCCCAAGTGGTTTAACGAGAGTCAACGACTGTATATAGAAGGCACAACAATTGAAAAAAATATAAAGACAAAGAAACAAACAAATAGTCAAAACTACGATTCGTTTCCATATAAAATGTTATCTACAAAATATATGTAATTACGGACTTTATAAAACTGTACAAATACTGTACCTACTAATACCTGTATCCCTTGTATATCTTACAAATAATTATTATTATTAATATAATAATATATAATATATAATATATATATATATATATATATATATATATATATATATATATATATATATATATATATATATATATATATATTATATATATATATATATATATAATATATATACACATACAACAAGCAAACTTAATCCGGGTATTTGCAAATAAATGACAAATATACAATGTATCTAGTTATGTGTACACTGAGAGGTAATCCCAATCTACCAGTGTATATACATATATGGTGTACATATGGTGATATATACATATAAGCACTGTATATATGGTGTATACCTAGCGTATCGTCTGTATATAGTATACCTTAGATCTGAACTAGGTTCAGGACTAAAAAGTATACTTGCTGGTTGGTCAGTGAGGTATTGTGGTGGTCTTAATAACCCTCCAGAGGTTGATAGGTCTTAAGTCCAACACCAAACTTGCTGGTTGGTCAGTGAGGTATTATGGTCTTAATAACCCTCCAGAGGTTGATAGGTCTTAAGTCCAACACCAAACTTGCTGGTTGGTCAGTGAGGTATTGTGGTGGTCTTAATAACCCTCCAGAGGTTGATAGGCCTTAAGTCCAACACCAAATACAAATAGCATCACTAGGGACAAGCAAAATACGTTGGATAAATGTTATCTTCCTCTCAATAGACTGGGTTATCATCCGAACCTTAATGAGACTTTAATGTATTCAGGAATTTAAAAAAAATGAGAAATTTGCAGAGGAGTTTTCTTTTGATCGCGAAGTTCTTTGCTTGTCACGAAGACATCTTCCTGCCGTCTGTAGGAACTTTTATGGTCTTCTCAAAGAACACATCCGTCGCTTTGAGGTCTTAGAACTGCAAACGGACACTCCAGCACCTTGGAGGTCTTGGGGACTTTCCCACGGACACTCCAGCATCTTGGAGGTCTTGGGGACTTTCCCACGGACACTCCAGCATCTTGGAGGTCTTGGGGACTTTCCCACGGACACTCCAGCATCTTGGAGGTCTAGGGGACTTTCCCACGGACACTCCAGCATCTTGGAGGTCTAGGGGACTTTCCCACGGACACTCCAGCATCTTGGAGGTCTTGGGGACTCTCCCACGGACACTCCAGCATCTTGGAGGTCTTGGGGACTTTCCCACGGACACTCCAGCATCTTGGAGGTCTTGGGGACTTTCCCACAGACACTCCAGCATCTTGGAGGTCTTGGGGACTTTCCCACGGACACTCCAGCATCTTGGAGGTCTAGGGGACTTTCCCACGGACACTCCAGCATCTTGGAGGTCTTGGGGACTCTCCCACGGACACTCCAGCATCTTGGAGGTCTTGGGGACTTTCCCACGGACACTCCAGCATCTTGGAGGTCTTGGGGACTTTGCCACGGACACTCCAGCATCTTGGAGGTCTTGGGGACTTTCCCACGGACACTCCAGCATCTTGGAGGTCTTGGGGGTTCCCCCACGGACACTCCAGCACCTTGGAGGTCTTGGGGACTTTCCAACGGACACTTCAGCACCTTAGAGGTCTTAGACACTCACAGACACTTCACAGACACTTCAACTCATCAGGAAACTTTCATCTTCCTTCAGACACTCCAGTTAACTGAAGACCTTGAGTCTTTCTATAGACTCCAGCTTTCTATAAACCCTCCCTCGGTCTATATAAACAATCCCCTTAGCTTAGGGCTTTCTGCAGCATCCCTTCAGCTTGGGGCTTTCTACAGCCTCTCATAAACTTAAGGCTTTTTATAGCCTCTTCCCAGCTTAAGCCTTTCTGTTGCATGTACAAGAGTGGAATGATAAAATACCATGCCCAAGATTACCAACCGAGTGCCGGCGGGGGGATGGAAATAGCCTCGGCTACCATCCTCTTTTGTCCGGTCGAGTTGGTCGGGTGGCTGGTTGGGGTATGTATTGCAACTGTTCAGCTTAGGCCAACAGGCCTTCTTTAGGCACCTCGACGTCATGGAACAACGGAAGGGAACAGGGATCTCACCAACATGGAACAGTGAGCAACTCACCAACATGGAACAGTGCGGAACTCACCAACATGGAACAGTGCGGAACTCACCAACATGGAACAGTGAGCAACTCACCAACATGGAACAGTACTCACTTAGTTGTGCTTGCGGGGGTTGAGCTTTGGCTCTTTGGTCCCACCTCATTGAACTCAGTACGGAACTCACCCACATGGAGGGCGCCAGCGTCGATGGAGAAGGAGAGGGCAGCCCCTGGTTCACCGTCGTCCAGCACCGCCTCCACCGTAGCCTTGTATACGGTGTCCAGCTGAAGGCCCCCCACGGTAGCCTCGCATCCCTGCTCGTGTGGAGGGGTCGTCCAGAGGAAGGGGACAGGAGAGGGGCGGTCACAAAGTGGGAGGGGTGAGGGAGGGAAGTGAAAGGGGGGAGAGGGGGGGGAAATGAATGGAGGAATGGAGGAGGGGGGAGAGAGAAAGGGGGAGGGAGGAGGGAGGAGGGGGAGAGAAAGGGGAGAGGTGAGGGAGGAAAGAAGAGGCAGAGAGAGGAAGGATTAGTGTGCAGAGAGAGAGAGAGAGAGAGAGAGAGAGAGAGAGAGAGAGAGAGAGAGAGAGAGAGAGAGAGAGAGAGAGAAAGATAGAGAAAGATAGAGAAAGATAGAGAAAGAGAGAGAAAGAGAGAGGAAGAGAGGATAAGAGAGGAGGCAGTATAAGAGACAAGACAATATACATTACAGTAACCATATTAACATCTACTTATTTATTAAAACTTCAAACCCACCTACAATAATGTTGAATAAAAAGACCCATGAATATATTTCACATCATCTCAGCTTAACTATGCTTAGATATTACTTTACAATATCAACATATTAACAGCACACACACATGTATTTTACAGAGAAATAAGCTTATCGACAAAGCTTACCAGGAATCACCAGGTATTTACCTGTATAATTACGAAACCTGTCCATCTTTCCTCAATCATGGAAAGTTTACATATATTAAACAGCTTATGAACAACGCTACGAGGCTGTTTACAACAAGAAGAATGACCTCGCAAACTGTTTACTATACTCAAACGATATGATTATGGAATTTCGGGGCTATTCATGCCCGTGCGACCTCTCAGGTGGCTCAATCTTCATCAATCAAATTGAGGAAAGATGTACAGGTTTCGTAAGTAGATCCTGGCCTCGGTGCCTTAAAGATAGAAGACTTCTGGAGATCTTCAGTCACCGAACATCATCTCTGTTTTTATTGGTCCCCAAGTCTTAAAGTAACTGTTTAATATATTCCTTTAAGGAATATACTGAGGAGAGAGTATATTATAATATATTAAGTAATATATTACTTAATATATACTTTATATTCCTTTAAGGGATATATTAAGTTTCATTAATATATTCCTTAAAGGAATTATTTAATATATTCCTTTAAGTGATATATTAAGAGTTCAATGGTTCAATGCCCGAGAAGGGTAGAAACGTTGGGCACGTTTTCATGCGCCTGATGCCTCTGTTCACCTAGCAGTAGATGGGGAGTATACCCGGGGAGCAAGAAACCTGTTGTGGCTTGCTTCTTAGGGGGATGGGGACCTCTATAAGCCTAACATAATGCCTTCTGGTGTTCCAACGAACCCAAAATATTTTTAGCTTAGAGCACCGGAAATTTGACGCAATGGTCGTTAGCGTTGAAGCAACGGTGCAGTAACAGTGAGAACAGGAGCACCGTCCAAACAACGGTACACTAACAGTGAGGACATTAACAGCGTCCAAACAACGGTCCACTAACAGTGAAAACAGGAGCACCGTCCAAATAACGGTCCACTAACAGTGAAAACAGGAGCACCGTCTAAATAACGGTCCACTAACAGTGAGGACAGGACCTACGTCCAAAGAACGGTACACTAACAGTGAGGCCATTAGCACCGTCCAAAGAACGGTACACTAACAGTGAGGCCATTAACACCGTCCAAACAACGGTACACTAACAGTGAGGCCATTAGCACCGTCCAAAGAACGGTACACTAACAGTGAGGCCATTAGCACCGTCCAAAGAACGGTGCAGTAAGACCAGCGGTACAAGGGACCTACACTATTCCTGCCGTTAACGTTGGTGGTGACCTGGGAGACGAGGTTCTTGTGGTCCCAGAGTCTCAGACGGTATCCCAAGGGCCTGGCTCCTGCTTCAGGGGGCTCCTCGCTCTCCTGGGGCGCCGTCGACACCTTGCCTGTAGGGGGGCATATATATATGTGGTCAGTTGTGTCTGGAGGAGTTACAGTGAGGTGTGGAGTTACAGTGAGGTGTGAAGGAGCTACAGTGACGTGTGGAGGTGTTACAGTGAGGTGTGGAGGAGTTACATTGAGGTGTGGAGGAGTTACATTGAGGTGTGGAGGAGTTACAGTGAGGTGTGGAGGAGTTACAGTGACGTGTGGAGGAGTTACAGTGAGGTGTGGAGGAGCTACAGTGACGTGTGGAGGAGCAACAGTGACGTGTGGAGGAGCTACAGTGACGTGTGGAGGAGTTACAGTGACGTGTGGAGGAGCTACAGTGACGTGTGGAGGAGCTACAGTGACGTGTGGAGGAGTTACAATGACGTGTGGGGGAGCTACAGTGACGTGTGGAGGAGTTACAATGACGTGTGGAGGAGTTACAGTGACGTGTGGAGGAGTTACAGTGACGTGTGGAGGAGCTACAGTGACGTGTGGAGTTACAGTGACGTGTGGAGGAGCTAGTGACGTGTAGAGGAGCTAGCGACGTGAGGAGGAGCTACAGTGACGTGTGGAGTTACAGTGACGTGTGGAAGAGTTACAGTGAAGTGTGGAGGAGTTACAGTGACGTGTGGAGTTACAGTGACATGTGGAGGAGCTAGTGACGTGTGGAGGAACTACAGTGACGTGTGGAGGAGCTACAGTGACGTGTGGAGGAGCTACAGTGACGTGTGGAGGAGCTACAGTGACGTGTAGAGGAGCTACAGTGACGTGTGGAGGAGTTACAGTGAAGTGTGGAGTTACAGTGACGTGTGGAGGAGTTACAGTGACGTGTGGAGGAGCTACAGTGACGTGTGGAGGAGTTACGGTGACGTGTGGAGGAGCTACAGTGACGTGTGGAGGAGTTACAGTGACGTGTGGAGGAGCTACAGTGACGTGTGGAGGAGCTACAGTGACGTGTGGAGGGGTTACAGTGACGTATGGAGGAGTTACAGTGAAGTGTGGAGGAGTTACAGTGACGTGTGGAGCTACAGTGACGTGTGGAGGAGTTACAGTGAAGTGTGGAGGAGTTACAGTGACGTGTGGAGGAACTACAGTGACGTGTGGAGGAGCTACAGTGACGTGTGGAGGAGCTACAGTGACGTGTGGAGGAGCTACAGTGACGTGTGGAGGAGTTACAGTGACGTGTGGAGGAGTTACGGTGACGTGTGGAGGAGTTACAGTGACGTGTGGAGGAGTTACAGTGACGTGTGGAGAAGTTACAGTGACGTGTGGAGGAGTTACAGTGACGTGTGGAGGAGCTACAGTGACGTGTGGAGGAGCTACAGTGACGTGCGGAGTTACAGTGACGTGTGGAGGAGTTACAGTGACGTGTGGAGGAGTTACAGTGACGTGTGGAGGAGCTACAGTGACGTGTGGAGGAGCTACAGTGACGTGTGGAGGAGTTACAGTGACGTGTGGAGGAGTTACAGTGACGTGTGGAGGAGCTACAGTGACGTGTGGAGGAGCTACAGTGACGTGTGGAGGAGCTACAGTGACGTGTGGAGCTACAGTGACGTGTGGAGGAGCTACAGTGACGTGTGGAGGAGCTACAGTGACGTGTGGAGGAGTTACAGTGACGTGTGGAGGAGCTACAGTGACGTGTGGAGGAGCTACAGTGACGTGTGGAGGAGCTACAGTGACGTGTGGAGGAGCTAGTGACGTGGAGGAGCTACAGTGACGTGTGGAGGAGTTACAGTGACGTGTGGAGGAGCTACAGTGACGTGTGGAGGAGCTACAGTGACGTGTGGAGGAGGAGCTACAGTGACGTGTGGAGGAGGTACAGTGACGTGTGAGGAGTTACAGTGACGTGTGGAGGAGCTACAGTGACGTGTGGAGGAGCTACAGTGACGTTTGGAGGAGCTACAGTGACGTGTGGAGGACTTACAGTGACGTGTGGAGGAGTTACAGTGACGTGTGGAGGACTTACAGTGACGTGTGGTGTGATAAATACTGAGCTAAACTGCTGCCTTTGCACAGAGCAATTTACAAACCCAAAAGTGTGCATATAAGACCCACATTATAGGTAATTGGGCAGTTTACCTTGATGACGATGACCTGGTAAACTACTCAGTGAATACAATCTGTGTCACCATGATGGACTTAAGAGGTTCGGGTCTCGTTAATAGGTTCGTAAGTTAATAGGTTCGTAAGTGATCGAACACAATACCTGTGATGAAAGGTGATGGTGACCAGCGGAGCCTGGCGGAGATGGTGATGATGGTGAGGTCGGCGATGGTGCTGGAGGGTCGACCATACACCATCCGTTGTCCCAGAGCAAGACCTGTAGAGAGAGGAACCAGATGAATCAATGGACAACCAGTGGCTAGAAAAGCCGGGGTCCAAGAGCTAAAGCTCGATCCTGCAGGCACAAATAGCCTGGTGAGTTCACACAGCACAAAATCACTATTATACAAAATCACCCCAAAATGCAATGAAATCACCAATCATCACAATACCTGTAAGGAGCGTAGGAGAGGTGATTGTGAAGTTGAGAAGACCGTAAGGCCAGTGGTGTTGCCCAACCAGTGCTACCAGCCGGCCAGCGTACGTCACGTTGCTCGACAATCCCTCAAACTGCAACACTCAATCAACAATAATCGTATCACACAATTAACAATGGTTGAAACTACACAAAATACATATTATAGCACTTTCGTCATACAGTTTCCTTCAAAATGGTTTCAAAAAGCAGTAGTGAGCTCTTGGGATTAACCCGGCGGAGTCCTCCTGAGCTTGGTGGACCCACCTGGTGGCGGAGAGTGGTGGTGTGGTACATGGTGGTGGTGGAGAAGGCCCGCTGGTGGTGGGGAGGAGTGAGGGAGAGGCTGTACGCCGTCACCGCCCCGTTGATGGAGAGCGAGAACCGCGATGGCCACTCCAGTCCCAGCGACGCATCTGTGAGGGAGATACAATGCAGGTGGAATATGCAGTGACGCAAGTGGAGTGACGCAAATGCTGGACCGTGTAATCAAAATATTATAATATTGACAATATGACTCTCTAATTTACTTATGCACACTCTCTACCTGTTTTACGCAATATGTATAGAAACAATCGGTTCTATTTACAGTAATTTAGGCAGAGTTTCTAAGTTAGGTTTGGGTAAAATCTCTACTATTTTGTAATAAGATTATATTATATAT